CCTCACTGTGGCCACTCATGGTGAAAGGGTGCACCAAATAGAAACTTCACTTTGTCTGTGGAGCTGACAAAAAAAAAAAAAGAAGGTGATGAATAGGGATCAAGGGTGTTCTTTGGAGCAGTACCAAAGAGTAACAGACCTCTCTCGGCCTTTCTGGGACAAACAGTAGGGAGGGACTGGAGAAGGGAAGACAGAGGGAGGGGGAGGAAGAGAAGACATGAAGCAACCAGGATGAATTTGTCATTTCTATATGGATGAAAAGAAACTTTTCTTGTTGTTGTTAAAATGTTGTTAGGGAGTAGTCATTCCAACTAAAAATGACAAGACAATACTAGTTGAATCATCTGCAGCTGTTTTACTTTCTAGCCATTATTTTCTGAGGTCGTGAAGATGATTTAATAACAGGGTCTTATTGACATCTGAACCAGTGTTGAAACCATTCCAGCCCCACGGACTGAACGCTGGCCAGAATGCATCACGAGATCTGCACACTGCACCTCAACTGGGAGCTCAAGAGTCTCTTAAAAACTTGAGAAGAGGTTGAGAGCACTTGACAAGCGCCCGCCCCGCCCGCCGCCGCCGCCACCCCCCTGCTGTTTTTGCCAACTCTTTGGTGGGCCAATTTTCATTTCAAGGAGTTTGTGAGGGAGGCATGGGGACAGGGGTTGATTCCTCAAAGGTGTTAAATGACAATATCAACAATCAACCTGTTCACTGTGTCGCTCTGAAAAGTGAGGTAAAGTCTGTAAACGGGGGATGAACATGCGAGCAAGATAGAGTATGTGGGGGAACCAGCAAAAGAGACTGACATTTTCTGCGTAATGAGTACCAATGATCATGAAACTGAGCTCTAATCGCTTCCAACTGTCAAATTAAACGAAAGAAGGAAAAAAAACAAAAAAAACAAAACAAAAAAAAAAAACAAGAACAGGAATACTAAAAACATTCACACTGCACAAGCTTGAGCATGTCTGACATTCAAACAGCAGTGGATTTTCCTGCCTGGGTGTGTTTAAACTGTAAGCTACACACTTAACTGGGGGCGGGGGAGTGTCTGCTGTATGAAAAATTACACCAGGGTCAGGGTTTTTCTGGATGGTCTCACGCAGAATATCTTGCCGTGTTTGCAGAGGTTATTAGCGGTTAATGATTTGATATATGATTGAGGCCTTGCTGGTCATCAGGATGGCCAATCTGCTCTGAACTAAATCAAATCTTTAAAAAAAACAAAAAAAAAAAACAATCAAATATCGATGCAGTGGGGCGGAGTTAATCAAGGGGCAATTTTACGGCTGATGAAAAACTTTCACGAGTCACAACATCTTAAACACACATGCTGCACTTATCCTTTGAAGTAACTACTGTCTTAAATACTTGATATAAGCGTTACCTTGTGTAAGTTGCAACACCTGATGGTGTATTTAGACAGCAGTGTGTAAACAGAACTGTTTTATGTTATGCATGTGCCAGAAAAATGTGTTTCTGCTGCTGCCTGCGTTGAGGGTTTGTGTATACGTGTGAACATGGGCGTGCTCTGCCTGAGTGCGAATGTGTAGCTCTCCGGGACCTCACACACATACATACTGCATGCTTGTGTCCACAAACACATGCATAGACACACAAACACAGAGACTATCAGACAAACAGTAATCAACAGGGGGGAGACCAACAGGCCATATGGCTGAAAGCAGAGCAGAGGTTGGAACGCCAGGCGCTAATGCACCTTAGGATGATCTGTTCCAGAGGCACAGTGCACGGGTGGTCAACCGAAGAGGGTTACTTTGTGTTTGCTTAAGCATAAAGAACTCAAATTACAACACACACACACACACACAAAACCACAAACCCACATTACAGTTAGAGCAGTTCTCTTGTTTAAGTGTAATTAAGAATTTGGGTCGTAGGCATAGAGGCAGCAGGACCATGTACCGGTTTGATCTCTTGCTCAGTGACAGACATGGATAAACCCATGTGGTGTCTTTCTAGTTTACAGACAGACTATGAATCCAACTGCCAGCCTGTATAAACAGATAAACATGTCTTGTGCACTTCTGTTTGAAGACTAACCTGCGTCAAGGATTCCCTGGGCCAGGATGGCGCCGAACTTCGCCATAACGTCATCGTGCTTGTCGTTGATCACCTTCGCATAAAGTTGCCTGAACTGGTTTACCTAAAATAGTGAGGGGAGGAAAATACGTTCATGTCACAGTTTGAATCCAATAAAATTGTCAAAATGTGAACAGTTCTCAATTTAAAACCAAGTTATTGCAGCAGAGTCTAGTGCTTGTGATGGAAAACATGTTTGGAGAAATACATCATTAAAAAAATAAATAAAAGTTATATGGTTGCAAACAAGCAACATTTTAATGTGAACAAAACTGGGAGTTCAAGCTTGACTCTGTACCACATATGCGTGTTTTAGTAAACGTTGTGACTTTACTTAACACTTACTTTCCTGACTATGACAAAAATACCTCAGGCTGTAAAATACTCTACAGACGGTGTATGGTTGCATTTTTTTTGCCAGATCTGTGCCTCCTAGCCAGACAATCTCCATATTAAAGGGAAGGTATATATTTGAAAGTGGCTGTCAGGCTGTAATGCAATTTGTCAAACGTGCACTATGTCAGCACAATATTCATAGGAAAACTACATCATCATTGCAACGCCCATGATGATTGTGTAGTACCTGTGGGAGTCCCGGCACTGACAGCATCTCTCAATAGCCAGAGTGAAACTTTGAGTAAACACTGTGCTGTGTAGTTATCTGCCAATTTGGGCCAATTTACCGCCCTAAAACTAGAGGTCTAAGATGTCTGTCTACAACTGGGAAGCAGAGCTGGAAATTACAAAGACTGGGACTTATAATAAACAGTCATGGATGCAATACCTCCTGATGTTCCACTGTCAAAAAGAAAAAACTGCCTCTTGCACAATCCTGCATACCGCCTTGTGCTTAAAGACTGTTGCTGTGCAGTCTTTGAAAATGTGTCTGGCAAATCTTAACAGTGCTCCGAGGGTGAGTGCGTGCAGTTATGCCTGGACAAGTCACTCTCCAGTTGTCCCTGACACAGATTTCTTTCCCTTTGTCTCAACAGTTCTGATGCTTGCTGCTTTTGGTCAAGTCGTCCCCCTTTCCCCCCTATTTTCTTTCCTCTCTTTCTTTCCTCTGCAAAAACTCTGGTCTCAGTGGTATTAAGCATGATTTTAAAGAGTCACTGAGGCATGTTCACAGATTACCAATAGGCCACCTAGGCAAAAAAACAAAAAAAACAGACCACTGGTTCATATTTAAAAGGGTAATAGCTCGGCTGTTTTAAAAAGTCTGTGAGCGTATAAAAAAAGACTTTGACAGAGGCTGTTATCACTGCTGGCTATAAACCAATTTCATTAATGATAACAAAAGAAATCAAACAAGTATTGGACAAAAAAACCAAAGCAAAAATACAAACATTTTGCTTTTACCTTTGGACAGGTGACTTCGGTCTGCTGGATCATGATGAGGGCCGAGGCAATGAGGGCGCCCTGTCTCACATAATTAACTGGGTCATTGGTCATGGGCTCCAGCAGATTGATGGCCTCCTGTGGAGGGAAGGGCAGAACAGAGAAGTTGTTAGTGTTGCTTAAAATGAAGTGTTCTTTCAATAAACTGTTATTTAAAGCTGCACAACCCTTTTTGGGAATGTAAATAATCATCCAGTGCCATATTAGGTGTCAAAGAATGACCTATCATATTACAATGATTTGAAGTGGAAAATGTCGCCCTTTAATGTAAAAAAAAATGGCAACAATTTAATGATTAATCCATGGATGAGAAGACATTGAAACATATCTTTCAGGACTGCTCTCAGCATTTTTGAAGAAAACTAAAGCATGCTACAGTTTGTTTGTGAATGAAGGTTCCTGACTTAGCAAAGTTGCACTTGCTTTTTTTTTCTTGTGATAGTTGGTTTGGGTTTGTATGTTTGGAAACCCTTGCCACTAAGCACTTATCACCAGTACTTCAAGATGATTTTGAGACATTACTCATTTCATTTTTTTAAATTTTGTATACACACAGCCACAATTTCACTTGACAGCTGTACATTACTTCCAAATTTACTTTATTATTAAATCTGCAATTACTCTAGATTTTTATGTCGCACTAGCATCCAAAAACACTTGAGGGCAAACAGACACATATTAGTCAAATATAAAATAGAGCTTGCTTCATCTGTGAAGTTTCAAATTATTTTGTAAGAGAATGATGATTATCTTTAGCCTGGGAACCAGACGAATCTCCCAAGCTCATGTTTCATTTGCTTTGGCAGATTCATCAGACCCCCCTTCCATTATCTAATATTCGGCGGGTTTGACACGACAACTGACATGTCACGTGTTTTACTGCTCTGATGTTTGTCTCACAAAACTCAGATCAAACATCAAACTAGGCAGTGCTGATCAAATACGAATCAAGATTCTGTTGCTGCATTGCTCCTGCCTCAAATGTTTTCAGAAACACATTTTAGTGTACTTTTTAGCTGTAATTTTAGAAGGTTTGCACTACGTCCCATGTTTCGTTGCCCTGATTAATTGCAGGTCCATCCAGAGGCATTTTGGTGTGCTTGGTAAAACAATGTGGTTGCTAAAGTTGGCAGAATCATGTGTAGAATAAAAGTAACGATGTTGGACTGGCTAACAAAATTTTTATCATGCATTTGCAAAGTTATTTTAGTTTAGTATAGCTTCTTTTAATTCTGCCACAGTCCTGTAGTTTTGTGTCAGATTTAAGAGGACATGAAACTGATTACTTTACTCAGTGCACACATTTTATATGTTGCCATTCCCAACAGAGCATATCAGTGCAATGACGGCACTTTGGTTAAATACAGGAAAGGGAATTATCAACAGAAGCAACCAGACCACACAAATAAATTACATTAGTGTCATCCATATCTGGTTGCCTGGGACAACTGAGTAACAGTTACGACACCGCCTTCCTCCCATTATCACTCTGAATGAAAAAATGAGGGAAGACTTTTCCTCCTTTTATTTCTGGACTCTCCTCCATTCTCAGCTGAGCAGTAATGGCTGTAACCAACACCACCAGACTTGGAGGGAGGCATCAGCTCCGCCGAGGAAAGAGAAACAAACTACGATGATGACAGTGGAGGTAAAATAAACCATGTTTCATCAGTGCTCTCAGCTCAGCTGGCTGAGACAGCCGTGTACCGGGATGATAAGTCAAGAGTGTAAGGCCAACACCAGTCGACCACATCCTGTTCCCGATAGGTTGTCGGGAGGTTTAATTGAGGGTATTTACTGTCAGGGCGAATCAGCAGAGCAAGTCGACACATAATGTGGTTGCTCAAGATCCTCCAAATCCACGTACAGTGGTGGACTGTTTTCTTCAGGCTTGTGCCTCAGCTTGAGTTTAACTTTAAATTATATTCAATTCAGTACTGCTAGAAACTGGCCAGAAGATTGTGTAAATAAATGGAACAGTGCAGAACACACTTTACCACGACATAATTTCCATTATCATACATATTTATAAAACTGTATCGTATGACAGTATTCTGAATCACTGAAATGGTTCTTGTGAGTGTGTTTCCATTTGCTTCCATCCAATAAGATTAAGATTTTGATTATGGCACAAAATCGGCATAAAACTAACTGACTACACAAATGGTAGGTCTTTTACATAAAAACAGATCAGGAAGACCAGTCCAGTAAAAATACCTAAAGCCCAAGGTGTATAAATTACGGCCAAGAAATGTGTTCCCTCTAAATAGGTGACCCACATCTCTTGCCACAACATCATTACTCTCACCGAGGACCTAATGTGCTCAAGGTTTTATCTGGAAAAACCAAGCAGTGTAGCTTTGGAGCTGATCAGCTCTGTTGCATACCTCGGCCTGATCTGGTCCAAAACATTCACTTTGGTGCTTCAAGGCTCAGGATGCAATGAGCCGTGACTCTGCATGGGCTGTGACACCTGAGACTGATCAGCCCACATAGTTAGACAACACAGGAACTGGCAGACCCCCCCACCCCCGCCTTCTGTCTTCTTCACTCTCCTTTTTGGACTTCAATGAACCCAAACGCGATGACACAGTACGGAAGGGTTCAGCCCGGTAACAGTGTGCCAATTTGGACCAATTTATCAGCAATTCTCCCAAAAACTTTCCACAATTAATAGAGCTCCTCTGTGCTGACCCACATGAAATTAAAGCAAATGTCAATAGTTTACACGCAAAACAGCTGCTTACCTTATATTTTAATTACTATACACAGTAACCAAGATAATGGGTGAAGCCTTTGATCAAATGGTATGATTTGAAAATTATCCCGAAGCAGGTGAAGTTCAGAAGAAGACGACGACGACGACATCTTGTACGATCATCTTGGGATATTGCATCCATTTACACCTATTTTATAAATTAATTTTAACAAATCAACACTACTGCGTTTTCGAATTAAAACGGAGACCTTTTGCTACGTTTGCACCTCCCGTCCAGACTACAACGGTGAAAATGAAGACCTAAAACGGAGAATTTTGAAACGTAACTTTAGAAACGATTACGCAGCCGCTCACGCTCGGCTCTCTGATTGGGTCTTATAAGTCATGCAAAGTAGAAACACTATGCTACTGACCGGGTTTTTGACTTGGTATTTTTATTAAAATATTCTGTACCATGTAATCTGCCTACGCTTCGCCGTTTACTTTGCGATGACTCCCAGTCTGTGTTCCGCCGCCACACTCCCGTGTTACATTCAGTACACTCAGCTCGTTATTGGTGCAAGCAAAAAATAATAAATAAATAAATAAAAAAACTGGTCTATACTTCGTCTTTATTTATTATTTCACCAAATCTTCTGTAACTACGGATTAGACCATCTGCTTCATGTTTACACTGGCACACGTATGTTGGTCCAGTATAGAGTGATCCAGCTGCAGTTGGCAGCAACGAGAAAGGGCTGCCATGTAATCCTTGCGGGAAATGACTGAGTCTGGTGGCTTTGACAAGAGCAATATAGTGACCGTTTCTGGTTAAACAAAAAGGAACTACATACTCTCTAAAAACAACAACAACAAAAAAAAAAAGTTATTTTTCTGTAGGGATCCTTTCCACAATGTTGTCAGACACTTCTGAGCCTGTGGCAAAAACGAGCACTTTACTGGATGTACTGTTGACTGCAACACGCTGGCTCAATACTGGACCAATTTGAAAAGATGTTGTCCCAATAAGTCACACAAACACAAAACAAGGCAAAACAAGGTCCAAGTTGAAAAATATCTAAGTTACCCTTTAATTCCATTTATGAGCGCAGATTCCAACGTAACTTACATAATTTACATAACAAACTTATTAGACATTATAAAAATTCTCAAATAGTGGCCAAATAGAGAACCACACATTTTCTCATTTAAAAAAAAAAAAAAATTATATATATAATTTTTTTTTTTTTTTTTTTTTTTTTTTTTTTTTTTTTTTTAAAAGGTACCGTTAATAAATGTCAAACAATGTTGCATGTGTTTCACATTAAAAGCCTGCAAAACGCCTATGCTTCCTTGTAGGCTTTTATTGTGAACCACTGAGTAGAGTTTCATTAACAGCAGCTCAACACCATGAGAGAAAGAGGCTAGGTAACGTGACTGCTTTTTAAGTTAGAAAAGGATGGGGGGTGAAGGGGGAGACACTCGCCTTGTTTCCTGTCCCAGCACAGCAGATGCCCAGAGCCATGGCAGCTCCACAACGGACATGAGGGTTGTAGCTCTCTGACAGAAGAGACACCACACTGGGACACTGCTCAGGGGTCCTGCAGAGAGATGGAGAGAAATTAAGAGCGAGTCAACAAGAAGCACTTGAAATTGACCATTAAAAGATACATCCAGCACAGATACTTTGGATTAAAATTAAATATTACAGCAGTAGTGTGGATGTGTCACCAACTAGTTTATATGTTTTCACATTTTGATAAATCACAACTACTGTTTGGCTGTGGCACAATAAGTGCAGGAGCCTTTTTATAAATATATCCATTGTGGCCACAAGAATTTTATGGCTAAGAGCTCCACTTAAGTGATGGATGAGGTGATTTGTCCCATATAGTGTAAAGAGTTTTGATGCCTCAAGCAAAAGAGCCACATAAACCATAACCATTACAGTTCTCTTGAGATGACTATGATGGGGAACGCAACATAATTTAAAAGCCTGAGATTTGCATCAATATAGAGCCAATATACAAAATAACATTAATTTTGATGCCACATGTGCATTTCCCCACCGGATCTATAGGCTCACTGTTCTCTATGTCAAAGGGGAACTGGATGAGACAGAGTTAGACAATTTAAGGTTTCTGAGACAGAGCTAGACAGAGTGTAGAGAGAAGAAAGAGAGAAGTAATAAAAGTGAAAAGGCTTGGGTGTGAAATGCAGGCTTTGATTTATGTCCAAGACCTTATGCATTTTCTCCCAGTGGTGTTGTTGTGGAATAGGAGGAATAGAAATCACAGAGCCAAACTATTTAAGCCAAATCTTTAGGCTCCCAATTGCAAATCCTGTGGCTCTACAAGATTTCTTTCCACCTCTTGTTTGTTTGCCAATTATAAAAAACAACCCATCATTCAAATTGAAATAGTCAAGATTACAGGATTGTAGTAGTAAGAAAAAGCACATAAAAAGGCATACCGATATGAGGAACGTCTACAAAAGACTACTCCACTTTATGTTCTGTTTACTGTATTAAAAATGTATTATGAATCAGACGGCTGCAAGAATAAGGACCACAAACACACAATTATTAGGAACTTCAAGTGAACATGATGGGGTCTAAATGAGGGGCCTTAAGTGGGAAGAAAACACTTCATTCATTCAAACTGTGCTGTTGTTTGCTCCCAAGCCACAATGAGAAACTCTTCAATCAGCGCATGCCAGATACTGGCATAGCTTAGGTGGCTGACACTAATGCAGAGTCTTGTTGCATTAGGTTTAGGTCACTGGTGAAAATGCACACACATATGCTAGTATCCGGATATCAACAAGAAAAACAACAACAACAAAAAAGATTAACAAGATTTAACAGTGTTTCCCATTTATTAACGAGACAATGGCGGCCCGCTCCAGTCTAATTTGGCCTTTGGCATCCAACTCGAGACAACCACTTTTCTTTTGAGGTAACTCTGGTAACATTAACTGTCTGTTTCCGTCACTCATTTGTGAGAAGGCGATTAAGCTAGCCGCTCCTAAATTTGGAGTGCACACATATTAAAGGCTTTGAGGTAAATCCACTGTAACGGACAAATGTAAGCTGACAGGCAGGTCAGCGACTTTATCCTGTCATTTTCTCTCTTTACAAAGACAAGTGTTGTAGTATGAGAGTCTGACCTGAAGAGGGGCTGTGAAGTCTTCATGTTATGCGATATAACACCGGGCTCTGTCACATGCAGAAATACTCAGACGACACTGTGATAGTTGGCTGCATCAAGAATGGACAGGAGGAGGAGTACAGGAGCCTCGTAGAGGACTTTGTGAGGTGGTGCAGGACCAACCATCTGCAGCTGAACACCTCCAAGACCAAGGAGATGGTGGTGGACTTCAGAAGGAAGAAACCACATCTCCAACCTTTGTCCATCGAGGGGGTCGATGTGGAGGTGGTCAGGACTTACAAATATATGGGGCTGCAGGTGGATGACAAGCTGGACTGGACAGAAAATATGGACACTCTCCACAGGAAAGGGTAGAGCCGTCTGTACTTCCTGAGAAGACTGGGGTCCTTCAACAGCTGCAAAAAACTGCTGCAGATGTTTTACCAGTCTGTGGTGGCCAGTGTCCTCTTTTATGCTGTAGTTTGCTGGGGAGGAAGCAGCAAGAAGACAGAGGCCGGTCGACTGGACAGACTGGTGAGGAGAGCTGGCTCAGTGGTGGGCTCAGAGCTGGACTCTCTAGTGACAGTGGCACATCATCTCAAATTGGACTTGATAAATTTAGCGCGAGGATGCACACTTGACAATGTCCTGTTTTAAAAATAAGATGTCTATACAGTATGGAAATAATATTAATTGGATTATTTTCACAAAAAGTATAAAACAAGTAAAAAACCAACAAAATGTTAGGGAATTATTTTATTCCATTTTCTATACTTTGATTTAGGGTTGCCAGAAAATTTGTTGACTTTTGTTGCTGTTGCGTCACCATTTATAGCTATACAATGGTTCATGATCAAATAGTTTACTAGAGCACAACATTTCTTACAAGAGTGCAAAGTTATTCATAGACAGCCTCTTAATTTTGCACCAAATGAATGCATTTAACTTTAAAATGTACAAAATTTTCTTTCTTCGAGAGGGTCTGAGGCCCACCCACCATTGCCTCTTAAAATCCTGTGTGAAACACTGTCTAATAGTCATGTTTAGTGTTGAGGGTTGTCTTGAATTAGTCCAACAAGATATTTAATTGGAAAGAAAAATGGAGAAAAAAACAAAACATATACAGGGTTGACGTAATTTGTTTTATAACCAAGAATGTTTTCTCACAATTTGCTTGGGAATGGTGGTGTTGATAACACCAGCGCTATCAGACAGATGAGCCGATTGATTATTCGTGCCTCTGAATTTCACAGAAAGGTTTTGGTCTGCCTAAAATGGCCATGGGGAGTCAGTCAACCGATAAGTACAAGGTCTACCTATTTGATTTGTCAGTTTGTCTTGTAGGTAGTATTATAATCAGCGGCACAAATCTCTTTGTTGCGAATGCAACCTCACGAAAAAGTCATATTGTACTGTTCCAACAACACTTCACTGCAACAAAAGTCTGTTTGCAGTTTTGTACACAGAACTAAAAGCCCACCTTTAATGTTTGTGACGCTAACCAGCTAATTGACATTTGTATTTATTCCATAAATATAAAAATAGTGAACGGACAGCAATTGCTATTTACATAATTGCATTAACCATTTCAAATACAGTGCAGCTGTTTGAAACCCTTTTCAAATTACTATACTGCATATAATTCAAACGCACTATACAGTAACACAGTATAGTACTGTATATAATGCAGTGTAGTTTAAGTTACAATTAAGCTATAGCATCAAACAGTATTGCGCTGTTTACATATACAGTAACATCTGTAGAGCAAACAGGCTACTAAACTACACCTTGGCGCTGGTTTCAGTGCATTTCTAAATAAAATAATAAATTTTTGAATTAAACGAGCCTGAAAATAAACCATAGGCTATCAAGGCCAAACTGGCAGCAGAGTTTAAAAAAAACAAAAACTTATTCATAAAATATTCTCATTCTTTTCCATGTTTTGATATGTAAAAGACCCAAATATAGACTGTAAGCAAACTACTTGATTATTAAAAGCTAATTATTTAAACTAATTATTTAGACTAGACTACTTTGTATAGCAATGATTCTGTCCCAAGCTTTTGGAACCATATGAGCAGTTCATCACTGTAACCCTGATCACTATAAGCGGTTTCTTTCCAGTGTATGTTCACAATGTACAATAAGGAGGGAAAACAGAAAACTCAAGGATTTGGGTTAAGCCTCCATCTGATTTGAACCAATAAATAGCCTCAATAAAGCCCTATATATGATGTCTAAATATGTATAAGCTTTCCTTGGTTTTGTGTTTAGTCCTGTGCATCAAATAGTGACATGTTCTCAAAGTATTATCTCCACGGATCTGTTGGGAATTAGAAGCTCAGCTCAAACACTACATGAGGATTATCGAAATCACAAATGGAAATCATTGGGAATCTAGATCACCTTTTAGTTTCACATTCAGGGATAGAGATTAGGCTGTTCTGGCAGTCTGATGATGCCCTTCAATCCATACTTGGATATAACCTGACTGAAGCCACCAGAGCCATCTCAATCACTGACCTGATCAACATGCAGGTTGTGAATACCCGCCTTTGCAGCAAAAGCACAGTGTGCTGTCTATCCATTTTAGGATGAAAAAATATGTAGGTTTTTTTGTAATAGGTAGATATTGAGACATAATTCACTATAAGTTTTGAAATTAGAAGGGCACTACGGTAATTTGAGCCATAACTTGAGAAACCTGGCTTTTTTTAAATATATAGGTTTAACCTAAAGCTTGTTCAAACCTTCAGCAACCAGCAAAATGGAAGAACTCAGACGAAAAGAAGAAATCAATATCCAGCATTTGTTTGTCTGAAAAGGCAAGGAAGCAATGAAGTCTGTATTTCAAGCTGTAATCAACTTAAATATCCTCTTAATGTGTGGTCGAGATCTCAGATAAAACACATATTTGTCCAAGAAGCTGATTGCATGTAATGTTTGCGAAGATTTGCAAACACATCTTAATCTAAAAAAAGGCCATTATTAAAAAGGTGGGGAAATTCTGGAGAACTCCAACACCATGATTAATACCATGATTGAGAACAATGAGACAGCAAGTAATGCAACTAATGTTAGCTAAGTTTGGGTTAGCAACTGTCTGGTAAAGTTGCTACTGCAAAGCTAACATGCAGAGGATGATGGTCCTAGAGCCAGCACAGCAGCTCCAAACAGTGATTCTCACACTCTCCTGCTACTATAGCTAACATCACTACAGCACATGACTCCATAACTATAACTGAATGTAAGGCAAGCCATTTAACTTACCTGACACACAAATCATGGCAGGGTTGTGGCACTTTCTTTATTTCCCATTTACAAAGCCAGGGCTAAGTACAAACACGTGTTTATTTTCAGCGCACACCACAAGGAGATATTCGCTGAATATGACAAAAAATTGGATTAGAATCCCATTTTTAATCTTTGGAAAAGAATAACCATCTTGTCCCACCATGACCTTAATGCAATAAAACCTTGTATAAATA